CGTTCTCCTCCGAAGAGCCCGCGGTACGATCAGACGCTGTAAGCGCGGCAGAGTTCCAGCAGGGATGCGGTTGCTTTATGAGCTCGAATGAACAAAGTTAAAACATACCCAGTCGCACCTTCCCAAGCAAAGATGAGGAGCCGGAGTAAGAAGCTTTTAACCCACAGACCACATAGAATCATAAAATCAAACATTACGTTTGCAAAAGACCATCAAGATCATCAAGTCCAACCGTTAACCCAACGCCACCATGCCTACTATACCATGTCCTGAAGTGCCACATCTACACGTTTTTTAACACCTCCAGGGACGGGGACTCCACCATTTCCCTGGGTAGCCTGTTCCAATGCTTGACCACTCTTTCAGTGAAGCAATTTTTCCTAATACCCAGTCTAAACCTTCCCTGATGAAACTTGAGGTCATTTCCTCTTGTCCTATCGCTTGTTGCTTGGGAGAAGAGGCCAACCCCCAGCTCGCTACCCCCTCCTTTCAGGCAGTTGTAGAGAGCAGTAAGGTCTCTCCTCAGCCTTCTCTTCTCCAGGCTGAACAACCCCAGTTCCCTCAGTCCCTCCTCACAAGCCTTGTGCTCTAGACCCCTCACCAGCTTCATTGCCCTTCTCTGGACACACTCCAGCACCTCAATGTCCTTCTTGGAGTGAGGGGCCCAAAAGTGAACACAGCATTCGAGGTGGAGCCTCGCCAGTGCCCAGGACAGGAGTGTGATCACTGCCCTGCTCCTACTGGCCACAGTATTCCTGATAGAAGGCACGATGCTGTTGGCCCTCCTGGCCACCTGGGCACACTGCTGGCTCACATTCAGCTGGCTGTTGACCAACACAGCCAGGTCCTTTTCTGCCAGGCAGCTTTCCAGCCACTCTTCCCCAAGCCTGTAACGTTGTATAGGGTTGTTGTGACCCAAGTGCAGGACCCGGCACGTGGCTTTGTCAAACCTCACACAACTGGCCTCGGCTCATCGATCCAGCCTGTCCAGATCCCTCTGCAGAGCCTCCCTACCCTCGCACAGATCAACACTCCCATCCAATTTGGCATCACCTGCAAACTTACTGAGGGTGCCCTCAATCCCCTCATCCAGATCATCGATAAAGATATTAAACAAGATTAACTAACACACTAAGCATTGTGTTGGGTGGCTTCATGTCCTTGTGCTGACATAGCAGGTCCTCGCCAAAGGAGATGTGGCCCAGCAATGGGACCCTCTCGGGCAAATCCCT